GAGAGAGAGAGAGAGAGAGAGAGAGAGAGAGAGAGGACATGAATGAATGATGATGTCCCAATATAGAAAGAGAGGGGGGGGGGGGGACAATAATGAATGATGATGCACTCCAATAATATGAACTTATTAAACATAGTAACAATTTCAAAAAAAGAAGAAGAAGATATTAACTTATTAAAGAAGAAGATATTAACTTATTAGAGAAGCATCTACTCGATGTAAAATACTTTTTTTTGGTGGGACTAAATTGTTTGCATTTATTAAAAAATTGACTTAGATTACGAGTAAATGTTTTTTGTTTTTTGGGTGGTACTAAAATGTTGGCATTTATTAAAAAGTTGACTTAGCAAAGGATTAAATGTTAAAAACGATTGTTGCATGGTTCATGGGGACAATTGAATTTATACTCACTACTTGGTTTAGAATTGTGTAGAACTGAGGCGCTTGGTTAATCAAAGTCTCACCTAAGCCTGATGAGATGCGTATGTGAGTACGTTTATCCAATCTTTGAAAATCCGAATCGGTGAGGTCAACCAACCATCCGAGAAACAGGTCCAGGTCGACGAATTGACGATCGTGATCGGTGAATGGATCTGCCATCCATCCAGGAGAGTTGGCAATATAAATAAATAAAACAATACAGAAAATAAAAAATTTTGTACATCAGAAAAAAAGGGCTCAATTTTGTTAGTGAACAGGGTTGTCCTTGGCAAGAACGGTCTCATTCTTGATATATTGAGGGGAGGAAAAAGTTTATATAAAGATGCTACCTTATAATGTAGAACTACGGGTGCTCTTAAAAAATCTATCGAAAAAGCTAGTTTTAATGTTGAAAATTGATTGATCATCTCGAGATATATGACTATGAAAAATAAAAAAATTTTAAGTCTAAAAAATAGTGCATTTTACGACATATTATCTACACTGTCCATTTTCAAGATTTTCACATGTTTATAGATCTACTTGATTTTAACTATTTTTTAAATTTTAAATTTTATAATTAGATATACAAGTAGATTTTGAGAAAATCCTTAAAAACCTTTTACATCAAAATTATATGCACCTTATCTCTACACCAACGAATGCATCCGTATGCAAACTACACCCTTAGTGAAAAAATAGGTCGATGATTCCAATCCACATGAGCATTTTTTAAAATATTATTTTGATCACGTCACCAAGTTAGAATATCCCTGTCTTGCGAGACAGACGATTTAATTTTAAAAGAAATGTATCTTCTAAAGTTGCCAAGGGCCGCCTGAATCAACCGTGTAGCTCTAGAGACGGGAGATTTCCGAATCTTGCGACACTTTTTTTTTTGAAATTTCTATTTGGAAGTCTCCGTGTGGATGTGCAGTGTTTTTCAAATTCCAGATCCGTTAGATGTGCAACATTTCATAATTTCGAATTCCAAACAAAAGAGACAATATGGATTCACAATAATTTCTTCCAAAATTAATTTTCCCCAAATGTTTTAAGGTGCAGCACTAAATTTACCAAAATCTTTTAACATTAAACAAAATTTGGACAATTATTATTTTATTATTGAGGAACATTTAAAACGAGGAAAATTAAAACCCGGCATACTTAAACACAATCAAAGACACTTCTCCCCACCTTTTATCTTTTATTTTATGATAGGAAAAAGTTTATATAAAATTACAGCCTTAAATTGTAAAATTAAAGTGCACCTCAAAAATCAACCAAAAAAGATTGTTGTCGATGAAATAATCAACAAAAAAAAAAAAGATTATTTTGACATTGGAAAACCTTCTAATTGATCATTTAAAAAAAAAAACAAAGATTTGGAATCCCAAAAATATTGCACATTGCAACACATTATTCAAACAGTCCATTTTCAAGATTTTCATATGTTTATAGATCTACATGATCTAAACAATCTTTGAAGTTCAAAATTTATAATTAGATAACAAAATAGACTCTCAAACTATCTTAAAACCATTTTATACCAAATTTACATCCAATAATAAAATTTAAAATTTGGACGTACACCTTACTTTGATAGTTTAGGGTTGCACCCTAATAATGCAAACCACACCCTTAGTTTATACTAAAACTGTTAACTGTGATATAAAGAAATCACAACCACACCTAATTGTCAACCTAATTGTCAGATTTAAAATCTGGGGCTGAGTCTGAGAATGATTTTACCAGTCTTTGTCTAGGAATCAACATACCTCCAACCGCCCCTTATTTTAAATAATATATGTAGCACGGCCTTAGAAACTTAAGCAAAAATATATTACTATGCATTCTTTTTTTTTGAAAGGGAAAATTTTATATAAGGTTGCAACCTTGAAAGGAAAAATTTTATATAAGGTTGCAACCTTAAAATGTAGAATCACATATCCATCTCAAAAATTTATCGGAAATGTTGTTTTAATGTTAAAAAAACCCTCTAATCAATCATCTCGACATCGAGATCTATGAATATGAAAGAAAAAAAGTTTTGAATATCCAAAATAGTGCATCTTACAACATATTATCTAGACCGTCCATTTTCAAGATTTTCATATTATTTATAGATCCACTTGATTTTAACCATTTTTTGAATTTAAAATATTTTAATTAGGTATGAAAATAGATTTTAAGATAATACTTTT